TTGCTAAGGTTAAAGTCAAGCATACGAAACCTCTCCCTGCGAATGCCAATCAGCGCGTTGATTAAAAAACCAAAATAGAGTACGGGCTCACTTATACTTCGGCCCAACACTGAGCTTGTTGTGCTTGTCTGGTTCGCAGTACATATCAAATACGCATTGCTCAACCTCAGAAGCAAACGCCTTCGCCTCCTCCTCTAAGCGCGTCTTATCTTCATCACTTAATTCACCCTCTTTGAGCTCGGCCTTACTGGCATCCTCTGTCGCAGCAGCATGTGGATACTTCAAAAAAATCGAACAAAACAGCTGATGGAGTTTTCCAAGACAGTACTTTCTTGCTGGATCATCTTCAGCAGCGGCATCGCTGGATCTCCTACGTTTAGGAACAGGAGGCTGGGTGGCGCTCGTCGCCTTTCGCTTGAGACCAGAACTTGGGACGAGAGACGCCTTCCTGGTTGATGATTCTTGAGATGGACCAGCTTTGTGGGAAGATTCCCGGGTGTTGGCACTTTCACGGACGTTGGAATGTGCGTCCGATTCGCTGGAACTGGAAACTCTGCGACGACGCTGGTGAATGAAGCACAAAAAAACGATCAAGCGTTAAAAGGTGACGATATTGAATAGGATTGTAGAAACGCACCTTGGCAGATGATGACCCTTTCCTCCTGAACTTCTCTGGCTCCGCAATGTATTCGTCCTCGCTATCGGTATTGTCCTCCGATTCTGATGGGGGAATCGCCGGAGGTGGCGTCGGGAGCCTGACAGTTTTGGCCTCGTCATGTTCAGGGTCGGCGTGTTCTTCCGCTACATCGGGTTCTTCCCACTTCACTGAAAACACGAAAAAAGGATTAGTACCTCAAGTCTTCAATTGATAGTGTAAGGAAAAGTGAAAAGAGCACATCATTCTTTTTCCCTGCGTGAGAACAGGACGCCACTGTGACATAGGTTGTTCCATCTAGCGCCCGTTGACCACCGTGCTCAAGCAATCGCTCACATCGAAACCTCTTCAGACAAAAATTGACTCAAGAGGAAAAGTCGCGCGCCTATAACGTAAGGCCAAAGGCACCGTTGTACAACCATCACAGCGGCACGCAATTGACTGCAACAAAGATGTGGCGAACAGGAACAGATATGCCACTAACGATAGACGATAGCGAAGTACTTGCGAGACAAGACTCATAAGATGGATATACATGAAGAGGGATACGGGCCCACAGAGACAAACCACAAAAAGACCAGTGACACTCACTGACTGTACGTCGGCCAGTTAATTCAGTGCATGTAGAACATACATAAATATCTGCCAAGATGGGAGAATGATCAGTAACCGATGGTAAAATACGATAAGGGAAAACTTACGAAGTTCAGAAGCCTCTACTTCATCGAGCCTCACACAGCGAAAATGATACCTACGCGCCGATTTAGTGAAGTTAGGTATTAGGATCTGATTGCATATACGCACCACTCATTACAGACAGAACAGCACACCATGGGCGTACCATCATCTGGTTCATGGCAAATACAAAATGTACATTTATCTTTCGGCTGTCTGTCCTGGGCGTCCTGTGTGGCCTTGATAGGCGTCTTCGCCTTCTCATGGCTGATATTGGTCTCTTTTTCCATCTCGCTCATATGGTCCTCGCTCTTCAGGGATCTCGCGCGCAACCTGGTAGATTTTAGCTGACTATCCTTGTTTGAACGTGACTTGACATTATTCGTAGTAGACACCGATTTTGTTCTTGAGCGGGTCGACATCGTTGGCGTCGGCGTCCCTGTGTGCAAGGTTTAGTTGTGAGTCAAGAACAGAACGACTTTGAAACTCCGACATTCCAATGAGTTGTGGCAAAGAACCAACGTCGCACTTTGCAAACCAACCGTAGAAACTTGGCTCTCGAAGACCATCTGGCGCGTTGGGTACTGGATGACCAGGACACTGTCCCATGGGCCTTGGCAACTCACAACTACTAGTTTGGGTGGGTCACCACGAATGTCATATCAAGCGCTCGCGTGAGCCCTCAGACATGATATCATCAGGCCTTAAAAATACCGTGTTCTCATGCTTTCCTTGCCGTCGGGGAATCAACGGTGACTGAGTGAAAATGGCTCACACATCCACTATCTACTCCTATTAAGTGATGCGAGTCCATTTGGTCGGTCTCACCAGGACGGTAGTTTGGCGCGGGTCTGGGAAACGTGGGTGTCCCGCTTTGCGAGGCAGTGATCTAATCTAATGTTTTTAAACCATATGGTCTTTCCCCGGGTCATCCGGGATAAGGCAAGTCCAATTGTGGCGACCACTGCTCCAATACCTGGCAAGATCATCATTGGTCATCAGGACTCGGAGCCCAGTCCACATAGGTCAGCTGTGGTACCGTAAGAACTGCAGCATAATTAATACTGTCATCGATAAGGTGTCCATGACCCGAATAACCTTCCGGGTGACTGACGAACAAGCCGCACCGGTTGTCAGTCTAAGAGACTGCTAGTACAAATTTGACGTGTACGTGTCTGGCAGCTTAGGACACTTTCGAGTCGTGATACTTATATGCGAGCTAGCACTGTATAGCCTGTCTCTTGCTTGATTTCATTTCACGACTAGTTATCATTGAACGTTCCTATTCCCGGACTGCTGCTTCTCCCGCCGGAGATCTCGATCGATCTATTACTAGCAACAGGTCCTGTCCCAATCTCGGGAGGAATATCTTTGTTCTTTCGAATCTACTACTATACTTTACTCCATCCTTTTCAGTCGCCGCCTTTCTTGTCTGGACCGTCAGGATTGTACATACAGTGACAAGCCATCCGTGCAAGTAATGTACCTACTATGCTTAGGCCACGTTAAACTGACAGAATTTGCAGTGTGTACTGTCATTGGTGGGTTCGCCATCAATTTATTCGTAGTTCCTTGCCGCCTTGTGAAGTATGTGAATTCATACTTTCGTAACAAGTGTCCGCACCGCTCATGACAAGTACTGACTTTGGAATTGCAGGGTCACTTACCCACCACTACTAGTAATACTAGTACTATCGTGCAGCGTTAGTCAGACAGTTTCCTCGAGATCTCGGCATTACATGAGGCTTACACATGGCAGCAATCGCCCTCTCGAGCGATCCAAAGACACAGATACCCAGCCCCTTTCACATGATGGCCTCTCCCCAGCTTGCTAACCCGAGGTGCGACTCGCCACCGAAAGCATTGTCCCGTACTCCAGAGCCTTCCTCTTCCTCGACATATGCCTCTGCTCAAGAGATCCCTGAGACAAGGTCCATGACTTTTAGGCGACTCCGATCGTCATTGGAGCAAAGTTTGAAGACCGCAACACGTTCCAGAGCAAAAGTCCTGCCACCTGTTGATGACTTCGCAGCCGTCTCCGTCAAGGGTAAAGGCAAGGAGAAAGAGCCTGAAATCCACGTTGCTGTGAAAGGGCAGGAGAAGGATAAGATCCTGTCCGGCATGCTGAGACGATTGGAATCAAGGGTAGGACTGCGCAGGACTGCACGGGTGTCGACATCGACATCGATCCCCCTTGACGCAAGTCACGCCAACGCGATTGGAGCGCCTGCTGCCAGTGGTAATAACGCGGATGTAGTCACCAAATCACGCCAGGCTGGATTCACGAGTTTTGCTACCCCATCCCTGTGGCAGGCATCTGTGTCTTCACCAGTTCTCCATCTCTCGTCCCAAAATTTGCCGTCGGGTCCGTCACAACCTGCAGCAATGGCGCCATTATCAAATACAGGCCCCATCACACCTGCACGCGATCGCACGCGGCGCGCCAGCGTTCAGCCCATTAAGTTCAAGGAAATTAGCGGTCCTCAGCCATTAGCAACGCGGCATGACTACCGCAGTGGCGCTGTAATGCCTGACCGCTCTGGTGCAGCCTCTCCTCGGGCAGGTAAATCTCGTCCATCTCCAGTACTCTCTACACCCAGGGGACGTTTGTCGGTTGACGCACCTAGGCGGAGCCATGATTCGTCGAGCCCGCCAGGCACCCTGTCTGGCTCCCGAGCGCGGTTTGGCGACCTGTCCAGAACGCCTGTGGCTACGAGTGCCACTCACCTGCCTCTCCACAGCAGTCCACCTTCCTGTCCTACTCCCAATCGTGCTGTGAGTCCTGCACGCGCAAGGACACCTCTTAAACAAGTTGTGGCTCCCGCATCCTATCAGGGGTTTACTTCTGCATCTACGTCTACATCACATCTTCCCTTGAATTCCTCCAGTCCACCGACGATGTCAACTTCAGCCCGTATGCCTTCTGTGGATGCACCAAGGAGACCCTCAGTTGATGCGCCACGGAGAAGTTCTGTTGATACCCCACAGAGACCTTCTTTTGATACCTCCCGAAGACCATCTGCAGAAGTGCCGCGAAAAGCGTCTGGCGAAACCTCTCGAAGAGGCTCCATTGACGTACATCGCCGACCCACGGCCTCGCCTGTGCCTAGAGCATGTTCTCCTCAGTCTACCGTGCGTCCACGTGCTACATCACCTTCTCAGCGCACGCCTGCATGCGCCCAGACTCGCTTTAATATCTCAACTGCTTCCCTCATCTCTCCTTCCACTCCAGAGCAGCGTGAGGTTATACGTGCTGCAACTTCGCTTCTTTGCAAAGAATTGCGGAAAGCACCGGCGCATCTTGCACGTAGTGATGCACAGAAGGAGTGGGCGGAAGTAGAGGTGCGCATGCAGCCCTTAATAAGGCTTGAACGCGTTTGGGGAAAGAGTGGCGGTGGCGGTGCCAGTTCTAGCCAGGTTGCTGGGGGTGTTGGCTCCATGGTGCTTAGCTCAGCTGGGGAGGAAAGAGAAAGGAAGCTCTTCTGCGAGGCCCTTCGAGATGGCGTTGTTCTCTGCCAGTAAGCCTTGACAGTTACTCCGACTAGTGTGCTGCTTAATGTTGCATCTTTTCAGGCTGATAAACAAGCATTATTCTGGGGCCATAACTCGCATCGACCACCGTGAAGACGGTCTTAAGCAAACCAGCAACATCACCAGGTTCATTGCCGCATGCTCGCAACACGGTGTCCCTTCCGACGACATTTTCTATCGTGACGACCTTATCCAGGCGACCCCAGAAACCCTTTGCCGTGTCGCATGTACCATCAATTCGTTGATGAAGCTTTTTGAAGACCCTGGAGTCGGTCGTGTCAAGGTCATCGCGGGTCAAGGCAAGAAAGGTGCCATCGTAGCTTCAAGCAACGATCCTTACTCCTCGGCGAATTTCTTGCGCCGCTTCTTCCACACCGAATCTGCTGCCACGACCAACCTCTCCAGTTCGCAGAATGCAGAGTCCACATGAACGAACGCTCCTCCCAGTGCGACCTGATAGTCCGCAATCGGGAACATCTGCTGGCACAGCTAAGAGAGTCCCCATCATTGATAAAAGCACGACACCAGCCAGTAACAGCGATCATGAAATTCACCAGGTTCCCCCTCTTACGAGTCCATGTCCAACCCCTATATCTCCCCTTCGCGCGCACTCTCGAACTGGACTTCCAAATGACAGTGGCGTTAGCCCTCTCTCCAGTCTTCAGCCACTCGACATTCCCTTCCCTCAATCACCGACTTCGCAGGTGTCCAATCTGTCGACAGCAGGCTGTGATGCAGACTATCCCCCACGACAGTCAAGAACCTCCAGCAATCTCACTGATAACACTGCCCTCTCCAGCATCTTTGACATCAGACGGGTGAGCAGCAGCAACCAAAACAAGTTTGGAACCATCAGGACTTTCACAACTGAAGCGACCTCTTGCTCTGAGGCGCCTTCGTTCACCCGAACAGAGGCTAGCTCGGTGGCAGCATTCATGACAGAAGAGATGAGCAGGAGACGGGGTAGTGGAGAGCCTGCACCTCGGTCGAGAGAGCGACGCCCGAGCGAGCCAGGTGTACTTGATCTGGTTAGCCTCGCAGAGGAAGAGGAGAACAGTGCCTGTGGGTCGAGTTCCAATCATCATCAGAAGGAGAGTTTGCAGCCTAAAGGACCCTCGCGGGTGCGGGAAACGGACGCGCAGAATCGTGTGCGACTCGGTAAAGGCAAATGGCCCGACGATTTTCTGGACGCTTTCAAGCCAAGTCCATCTCAAGCAGTCCCAATTGCAACATCGTCGAACAGTGTAGATGCGCCCCTTGGTTCCAGTCCTCTATCTGTATCCCCGACTAGAAAGCCTTCCATTGTTGGCTCATCACGTCACAACGACAGCACAGAGTCCAGAGTCCGAAGGCCATCTCATCGGTCAACCCATAGCGCGGATGTCCTGATGCCGAGGAATTCAGTGCTTCGTTTGGATGCCAGTTCAGATAATTCACCAGGCTCCAAAGTCATTCTGCGTCGTCAGAGTACACGTAATGGTGTTCGCAGAAATGGGGTTTACTATCCTCGTAATAGCGCCGACGACCCTGGGACTCCAAAGGATGACGATCCTCGCATTGTCCCCTTCCCGCGTGCCGTATCAGGGGAACATGCTGCTCGTGCCACACCATCTCCCGATTCTACTGCCAAGGGCGATGTCACGAATAACCAGGATGCTCCCCGTGTGCGTGGTCGCTTCCAGAGTGATGTTGAAGATCATCGAGCTCGAAGATGCAGTCGTCCGACTTCGCTTGATGAGTTGGGTAGAGCGCGGAGGTCTCGATATGAAAGCATGGTCAATCTAGGGGTGGCCTCTACGAACGCAAGTGCGAGCGACTTGCTATCAAGGGACTCCGGCGACGGAAGCGCCGTACGACAGACCGTAATAATCAAGGAAGAAGGGAAACCCGCGATTCATTTCGTGAGTTCTCCTATTTATGCAAGCCAGCGCCCAGGTCTTTGACTTTACCTTTATAAGCAACTCGGAAATTGCATCGGCCGCGGGCAGTTCGGCACAGTGTATCGGGCTCTGAATCTGACAACCGGACAAATGGTGGCAGTTAAACGAATCCGATTAGAAGGTCTGAAAGAGGACGAAGTTGCCCAGCTCATGAGGGAGGTGGACTTGATGAAAAGACTATCACATCCAAGTATTGTGAAGTATGAAGGGATGGCTCGAGATGATCAATACCTCAACATCGTTCTTGAGTGAGTACAGTCCATTATCTTGTCGGATGTTTCTTTTGATGAGCTCAATCTAGATATGCTGAAAGCGGCTCATTGGGCCAGATGCTCAAAGCTTTCGGCAAGTTGAACGAGCAACTTGTGGCGGGCTACGTTGTCAAGATTCTCGAGGGCTTGCATTACTTGCATCGTTGCGATGTTGTCCACTGCGATTTGAAAGCCGCCAACATCCTCACTACGAAGACGGGGAATATCAAGCTCTCGGATTTCGGCGTTTCCTTGAACCTGAAGGCTATAGAAAGAGAGAAGGACGTTGCTGGTACTCCGAACTGGATGGCCCCAGAGGTCATCGAGCTCAAAGGGGCTTCAACAAAGGCTGACATTTGGTCGTTGGGATGCACAGTTGTCGAACTTCTTACTGGACGTCCGCCATTTGGGGATATCACCAACACAATGACAGGTATGATCATGGTAATTGTTCCAGACGCATGACTGATGTAAATGCAGTCATGTTCCGCATTGTCGAGGACGAGATGCCAATCCCTGAAGAATGTTCCGAGCCGTTGAAAGACTTCCTTCAGCAATGCTTCCAGAAGGAACCCTCGATGCGACCTGATGCTGAGCTATTGTGCGAGCACCCCTGGTTGAAGAGAAATTGGGATGCCCTCAAGGTTCGTGGGTCTCTGGATAGTATGTAAGATATTACCAATCGATTTCATTTAGGAACTTCGTCTTCAGGATAGCATACCCTTTCTCCGGCGTGTTAGCACTGATCTACAAAAGACTGACATTGTGCACCTTGCATCTATGGATATCAACAGAATCGAATCACCTTCCTCGGTTCAAGAGGAGCCATCGAAGTCCCCAAGGCGCAGATTATCCAGTGGACCGTCTTCGCCGATTTCGCTTCCGGAGAATACCCCATTCACCCCTATGGATCATTCCTTTATCAAGACCACCTTTGGGAAACGTGAGCCCGAAATTTGCAGCCGGTTAGTCTCGCTGATCGTATTTGTAGCCATGATCTGCAGAGTGTGTATGGGAAGTATCAAAAGAAGCGCCGTCATTTGCGACAAGTGTAATCTCATCACTCACTCAAAATGTGCTCCTGAAGCTCCTCCCACATGCGACCTTCGCTCTCAACTGTTGCTTTACGCACAGTACGCCGAACAAGGAAGCCCCGCTGGTATCCCGCTCGATGGATTGAATGGGTTGCATCCTCCTCGTCCATCGACGATTATTCCTTCTGAAGTCTCCTTCGCTACCCCTTCTCCTCGACCAAGCTTGGACGTCACGCCGTCATCACAATTACCATCACCCACTCCTCCCAACGTCTACAAGCTCATAAATCCCTTCAAACGTTCTCGTTCTTCCCTAGCAGCAGAGAATAGGTCTTCCCCTTTGGCATCGCCGTCATCGATGCCTCAGCCTCTGTCTCACGATGATGCCACTCCCAAGCGAAAACCCTCTAAGCTCTCACCGAATATGATCTCGAAAGAACGACCTCATTCATTGTCAAGTAATGGTACTGCCCCCAATGCCGGTAGCATGAAGAAGGCTGACAGCCAGTCCAGCCGTCAAGAACCAGGCCGTAAATCCTTCTTTTCAATAGTTGAGCCTGATACACATACGATTCCACAACTTGGTCCGCCAGTTCCCGACAAGAAATCATTTTATGCCCATGCTACGACTGCCACTCTCAATGATCGTATGGACAATTCATCACGCCACATTCCGGGCACAGTGCCCAATGAACCTGACCGTCACAAAAAACGGGCAGCAGAGAAACCATCAGGCTGCACTGTTCAGTGACTCTTCTCTTACATCTACTGTCATCCTCGCCTGCATCAATCATCCGAACATAGCATGATTCAGATACCGTCATGGACACTGTACCACTAAAGTCCTTAGTGCTTTTACCCATTTATTACTGATCACTACTATACTGTTCATTAAGACGTATATTAATATATACTCTATTTTAGCACTTATATCCTGGTGCAATATCTAATCACCAACCACCTCAAGTTCAGTGTCCTGTGAGCAAAAATAATGCGCCCCCTCCCCCCGTAAACTGATTCGACCTTCTTAGGATATCCGCTGACATAATCTCAGCGTGCGGCGCCGATATCTGCCCAGGTTCGGGCCGCTCCGTCGTCCGACGGTCCAGCGCCGTTCAATGGATACCAACTTCAAGTTCGTGCCAGCAACACTAACCTTGTACCATCTTGTTTGGATGGCAACGATGTCAGGGCCCTTTGCATTGCAATATATTGGCATGAAAGTCCAGAACAACGATGGTCGACGGACTCCTGGCATATAAAGAGACACTTTCGGAGATTACTGTAGGGTGAGCATTCTTCCTTTCCGATTTCTCTGTACTACACTTCATTGAAATTCTTTTACTACTGAATTGCACTATTACAGCGCTGGCAATACACACGGTTTTGACCGAACTGGAATGTGACAACCACACCCTCGGATTGCAGATAGTTGCACGTCCATCACCGTCTCGCGGCCTGATCCTTTTATGTCACTCACTCTGAGGGCCAATGAAACTCGCCGCAAGGTTATTAAGTATGTTCCACTTATCTAGCTATATATTTGACTGAACATGCAAAGCCCTCAACAACCCAGCTGAATCCCCTACCCAGCGTCAGCACTACCCTTTACCTTCCCCTGTCGCAAGTCGTTCACAACTCGCTTGGCGTGAATTCGACCAAAATGTCATACCATCGGTCACGTCCTCCGTCCTCTTTCCGACGGTGCTGATCCAGACTAACTGTTGTTGGGATGAGCGCGAAAATACGTTGCAGACTAATTTGATGTATTGTAGAACTCCGCGAAGCCGGACGTGAGCATGAAGGTGAATGTTTCCACGTCAAAACCCATGGTCTCAATGATGACTTAATCATCTTTGGTTTACAGATAATACCACGGGGTACTCATCCGCGGATTTGGAAGGAGCTGAGTCGTTGTGGTTGACGTCTATGGATATATTCTTTTCGAGTCTCACCACAATGAGTGCAGATTCTTCTTCGCCGATTACTTCCATCTCTATCAGCGTTTGATACTAATATATGATATCATCTATCATATGCATGACCAATGACTTACGTATGGTTTGGTTTTCGTGTAGGGATGTAATTTGGAAATTGTTTTTCAAAGTCCGGCATATAATAATCTGACGGGTTTATTTTCAGTCCTCTGCGGTACATTTAGCATGGAATGTAGTGTGTGTCACGTTGATTTAACTTTGCATGCTGATCATTTTATCTGGCTTAGGTACCTAAGTACTTCAAGGACCAATCAAAAACTATGACAGCAGCCACATCATAATAATATGCTGAGAAGCGAGCCGCAGTGCTGGCACAACTTCTATATCTCCAAACCATTAGAGAGAATGACTATCACCTTCCCAAAGGTCTAGTCAGGTGAGAATAGTTTTGAACCGGCCTAACTCGGACATTCCTGTTGGTAGGTTCGATTTACGAGAAACTGAAATTGGTTGGAGAGTCGAGACAACAACATGAAAATTCACAGAATCACTCCTGCCAGCACTCATCAAATATAATTTCAACACTTAGTAGCGTCATCATGTATCAATCATGAGTCATAACCCGCATTCCCGAACGTGATTTGCACTTGGCATAATACGCTTTGTGTGCCACTGCGACTGATCCGGTCTACTTGGAGCTGAAGCACTGTACCTGCAGCCTGTCTCCTGAGCTACCGTACTTACGGCCCAGCTGAAGCACCTGCAGACATGCCCAGTTCCGAGTCGCGATGAGGCCACCTCGGACACAGCCGCTCGTCGGTCCGGTCTTACCGTGTATCAATAGTCTGGCAGTTGAAACATAGAGAAGTCGACTTGTCAATCGACAGAGCAATCTCGATCAATTTGTACCTGAGGTCCTTCTGTCATTTTTTGACCGGCAAGGGGTCATGGAAACACTGGGAGTTTAAACTCCCATCATATATTAAAGGTAGGTTCAAAAAATCACAACGGCTGGTATCGTCTTGACCTTCCATCATGCGGGTTTTTGTGCTAAGCTGTGTCGTTGCACTCCTTTTCTCCGTCTGTAGTTCCGCTGCAGCAATCACGAATGCACAGCGACTAGCTCGTGGCCTGCCACCTTTGCCTCCCAAGTTTGGTCGCGCTCTGCCTGGCTATGCAAGGACGCCGACAGTAGCTGGTACTTCTGAACCAATATCTCAAAACACTATAAACTAATATGTCGGTGCAGCAGAGAACTCATCCCCGTCGTCCGCTCCGCATAAGACGTGAGTCCGTTGAAAATTTCACTGCGAGTTTGTCTCAACCCTTTCAGATTTACTGGTCGAATCCTGGTTAAGGGCCATGATGGCAAACGGTTGGGACACCTATCTAACCGGGCCTCAGGAATGTAAGAACCCCCGCCGACTTGGGTGTTCCTCTTTTTGAAAAATGTGCTGAGCTTGTAACTAGAAATGGCGTAAACTTTGGTGCCTCAAGCGCGGACCTGCACGTGTCGTTCACCTCTTCTCAATCTCACCAGGGGCTTATCGACATACAGGTACGGTCCTCCTCGTTCTTTTGTTTTCTAAAATTCACAAAGCTTTTGGCAGGACGCCCATGGGCCTTCTTATATCGGGACAACGAGCAACGCCGTCCTCGCCACTGGCTCTTCAACGTTGGTATTTCCACAAAAAAAACCTGAATACTAGACACTGATTTGCTTCAACAGATTCGTCAGCTTTGGCAAAGTCATCAAAAGTGAGCCCGCACGACTGTCACGAATTGAATGTTAATAACAAATCGTTCATAGCACCCGTGCATTCCCCACCTGTCCCTGTGGACCAGCATCATGCGGACGAGTCAGCTATTTGGACATTCGATAGCAGAAGTCATGAACTGAATGGTGGGCCATCTCTATGTCCGAGTCTACTTATCATTAACATGTCTCAAGTGCACTACGTAAATCCCAACGGTCACGAGGCAAAGACGACTATCGCTTATGACAGTCATGACAACACAATATTCTTTGTCGGCGACATCGGTGCCTATAATGCTGCCCATCCTGGTGGCCACGTTTCACCTATTGTCAGTCTGCTCAACTTTCTGCCCCGAACTCACCGACTCACCGATTTATAGACACTTTATATTGATTTGACGGATGACAGTATAACGGATAAATGATCCAGAACTGTTTTCCCTCTTTCCACTCTTTTGACATTCCCTTCATTTTCCATGTCGCTCTTTTAATTTCAGTCCAAATCGTGGGTTCACCAGATCTCTCATTCGGACTTTGAAAACTGTCGGTCTTTAAATTCCTGACACTTGCATATCCCTTATTCCTGACTTGTAGTAGCTGCATATGCTCTATACATCTGGAATACATACCTCGACTGTTTATTTGCCAAGAGACTGAGTTCAAAATTCAGAGGAACGACAGAGCAATAAATTATAATATAAAATTTAAGGATGTTTATTCTGGGAATGCGAGTGACCGCACAGCTTCAATCCAGGATGCTGCGGCATCGGGGAACTTGGTATCACACGACGGATTAGCGACATTCGTCTGATAGGTTAACTGGGCTCACCTCCCACACCATGACGCCAGCGTCTGGAAACTATGGTTAACTCCTGCTGAACAGCATGTGAAACATTAGACGCACCCCATCCTTGCTCATAGGCCATGTCCACACACTGGGCGAGTAGGGTGGTGTTCATATAGCCATTGGTCGCATCCGCAGTGGTGGCTGGCTTGCCGATCACCAACTTGTCTAAAGATACTCCTGCTGCTGCAATCTGGAACAGTGAAGTGCCTGGCCACGCCGTTGACGATTCTGTAATAAGGCCAGTACACGTTGTGTACTCAGTTGTGCCCTCTAGTATTGCCGGTCAATAATTAGTAAAGAAACAGGACCGCGTAGCTTACGATTGTAGAACTGTATAAAACCGGAAAATCTGTCGGCATCATGAAATCACCCATCGTCAAAAAATGCTTGCCTGAACGTTGTACTGTAAGGTTGCGAATGAGCTCACGAAAAATTACACTCGTTTTCTCACTTACCCAGTCAATTAACGATCCAACATTCGCGTTGACCGTCAAATAAGCACCACTGGTGTACGACGTGGAGAACCTATGAACAGGGAGATAAATCCGGACGACTCGCATAAATACGATAGATTTAAATACCATGGAGCAACAGCTAGATGAAGGCCGAAACTTAGTCAGGTCCAATAACTGGATTTTTGAGGCAGACTCACGTGCGTGGGTTAAAATGTATTGACCTGCGGCATGCTGTCAGTACGTCCTCGTCACCAATAATTGAACCAGTAAACATACCTTGTGGAAGCGCTGCACGAAGGACTTGGGTGAAAGTGGTCAACCAATCTTCTGCGGATCCATTCTCAGCATTCATGGCGTCGAAATCCTGTTCCAATGCCAGTATTCAGTCGTGAACTAACGTACGTCAAGAGAAACCCACTTCGTAGTCAATATCAACGCCGTCGAGATCATATTCCAACACGAAGGCCGCAAGATCATTGGCTATGGTTGTAGGATCATATCCCTCAGTCGTAGGCGCATCCGTGGACCCGAAAGCGGATACAATAAGAGAAATCCCGGCATCGTGGTATGTTGTCAAGTAAGATGCTCGTGTGGCATTGTCAAGCTCAACCCACTCTTCAGCTTGATCAGCTGGTCCAGAGATAAGCCAGAACGAGAGGGCACTGAATAAAGTTAGACTGCGACTCGAAAATACTCATGTTTGTCTCCAAGACTTACAAGACGTTGTACCCCTGAATCCCAAATAACAAAAATAATCACTACGTGATAATGAAGTCATTAATGAATACATACTGTGATTTCGCTGATAGCAGGAGGACCGGTCTCACCGGAGACCCACTCGTCACTGTAAATGACGAAATGGGGGGCCGCAGGTGTTGTACGAGCTGAAAGTGCCGTGCCCATAAGAGGCGCAGACAACACGCCGCCGATGGCTGCGAGGACGCTAAGACTCGAGAGCATGAAAGACACCATGATGGGAGTGGGGTAGAATGAGGCACCGGGTAGGCATTTATACCCTTCACCGAGATCTCATTCTAGGGGTTAGTGTAGCATGATGCGACCTTCAATGGCACATGCACCAGAGATCCCGTACTACTAATAAAAGAAGCAAGTGTCATCATCAAAACGAAAACCAGGGGGTGGCGGCATGTTGCATGGAATACCACCAGAGGATTTGTCGATAAAGTGAGACTGCTGTTGGCGGGAGGTGGCACATGGAAAGACTCGAAATAATTACCAGCAGCATTACCCTTTGCCCGCAAGGTTCCCAAGACTAAGGATGAGTCAGGCGCGGGATCTCCGTATTTGGAATACGGGCGGTCTATGGCAAATGTCGCAAGAATGGTGAGCATGCGGATTCAGCAAAACATGCGAAGATATCAGGTACGTGCGAGAATTGAACATTGTGCCGCATGTGTTCGAGAGGTATTCGAGATTGCATATTATTGAGCAAGAGGGGTGATTGCTCAGAAGCACGGATTTGGAATGTCAAAATTGAATGAGTTTGCATGTGGAAGCAATCTGTGGCGAAAGCAATAGGTGGGATAGGCTCCAGGGTAAATGGAGAAACTGGAACATCTTGTGGAAGGATCGTAATAGAATATTGAGCAAGAAAGCTTGAGTGCGAGCTATGAAGCTGTAGGTAAACTTGGCGTTGTGGGATGAACAAAGTGTCATAGACCTCCTCTATTGTTGGGACCTTGAATATACGCCGAGTATGGGCTGGATGTGATTTTAGCGATCATCTATGCTTCAAAGTAGCACTTTCATGCTCCCATGTGCGCCTCGATAGTAGCTGTATCGGTGCCCGGTGATCATTGTGTCGCGGTAAGAACAATATAACTTCAAACTTCTGGCTTACTGTCAACAAAAAATTCGGAGAGCAAACAGATACAGACAGGCTGTCAAAAATATTGACATCGTTCGCCGCTTTGCCGAGGAATCTCCTGCATGTATATGGCAGGATATTAGCCTGAAAAAGGGACAAATACCAGCAGCAAGACACGCGTTGAAGGATCGTTGCGTGTGACTCTGTTCTCTAAAGGGATTCTCAGCAGTTCTGCAACAAAGCCAGGTTTTAGAAATGTGGAATGGAGGGGAGTGTGAGAGCTTAGATGAGCATGATAAGACTTTGCGCCAGATGGTAATAGCTGGCAACTTGAGCTATATCTCGATTCTGAAAAAAAAAGGTATGTGACACAAGCCAACACAAGGCGAAAAGGTGTAGGTTAGGTTGCCAGGCCATTTAACACAGTCCGTTCCACGTGCACGTACGCTTAGCTAGACCCATGGACCGTCAGAAGTGACATGTGAAGCTTTGAAACATCAGCACCTGATAAGACAAACCAAAGGCACTTACTACAACTATCCTAACTCGTGCCGAGCTGGACCCTTCTGGCAGTGTATGCAGCACCTGTATGATCATGATAATCTGCACAAACTTGATAAGCCGTAAGCTTGCGATCATCGTCAAAGTCCAGCGCATATGTCGCATATGTAAATATCTCGTCCCAGCTCCGCTCTGTCACAACTCAACTAGGTGAATTTTACGCCGCCTTCCACCGATATTTCTGGACGACGTATTCCGAAAACTCCATCGGATCCACTTAAAGCTCAAAGCCTAGGTAATAGTTTGAAATCTCCGACGAGGTGACGACCCAGAAATGGGGAAGAGCGGGTAAACCATGTTCATATGCTAAGCACTGGTAAAATGTATCATGAGAGCAACTTGGATGCATATGTAGCATGAAACAAGTTGTGTCTGGTTATGGCATCGCCGACATGTATTACTCCCACACTTCTTAGTTATGTAAGTGAGTGCCGCGTTTCCACGCCGCTGACGCGCCAGTTCCCGACTGATCCGCCGGGTCTAAATTTCCTCTCTCAAGCTACACCTACAACATTTGTCCCAGGGGCTAACCCATTGCCCAGAGATTTCCTGAAGGCCCACTCGTGCACTTCTCTCTGACCGTAATACCAATTTTCCCCAAGCACGGCCCACCTTTGAACCCCTGGCATTCATTTCTCAGTGCTTGCCAGTGTTGCAAATGATCATCAAGCTGTCTCTGTTTTGCACACTGTTGTATTTTACACTGCTTACTCGTAGGCTCTCTGTTCTGTTCTTCTGTGACTTATCCTTTCCCGCAGTCAAGCCGCTATCGCAAAACATCAACATTTAAGTGGTTTGACAGTCCTCCTTCCGACTCTTTGTGCTGGCTCCCGGTAGTAATGTTCGTCGCACGAAAGGCACTACGTTGGCGTTACCTGCAGCATTTTCTCAACATTCGTTAACGATTTGACGTGCTGTCGGTCGATGCTGTTTGGAACAGTTGGCTGCCCCAGATTGTTGACGTGTATGGGCGTTCCCTCTGTCAATCTTCCATATATGGATAGCTCCACTCTTAGTCTTGATGTCTTGGTCCGCCGCCTTTCTATTGACATGTTATCTGAGGCTATCAAAATGTTTACCAGCACAAGGTCGTCCTGTTGTCTATCCTCGTTCTCATACTGAAACCGGTAATGGATTGGTGTTTTACATTCCGGAACGCCTTTGGTTTCTGCAGTCAGCTGGCTCTCAAATCGTCAGCGGTCATTTCCCAAGTGAAGACAAGATCACCGCGGAATAAAAGGGGCCTGCAATACATGGTTGTGAAACCGCATGACGGCCAGTTTCCCATGATGGATTTGTAGAGAACAATACGTTTGAACTTTGCTGCAGACAGAATCACACTTGTCGTGAGAGTCTTTGAAACAACGCTTTCGTGAGAACCGACCGCCATTCCAAAATGGCACTAACAGCAATACTACCTCGGTGCTGTGTCAGGCAGCGAGCTCGCTATCTGTGCATCTTTCTCAATAAACCCATAAACAGGTGCAAAGAGAATGTAGTCATTTATTAAAAAAAGACAGCTGCCGTGATATTGCGCTGAAGTGGCCATTTGATCTGTGTTAGACTTGTCTCACACTTACATACCTGGCTTGTACTGACTTTGAGTTTGTATGTGTTCCACGCATCTGGAGTGAACACCTAGACTGTTACTTTGAGATAATTATCACACGAGAGACATTCCCTGAAGACTGAACTCAAGATCTCACTTTAATCATGACATAAATGACAGCGACAGAGTGGGTAGTCACAGGCGCTGTTTATCCTGGGAATGCGAGCGACCGCGCAGCTTGATTCCAGATGCTGCGCCGTCGGGAAACTTGGTATCACACGACGGATTAGCAACATTCGTCTGGCAAGTTAACTCAGCTCACCTCCCACACCATAACGCCAGCATCCGGAAGCTATGGTAAACCCCCGCTGAATAGCATGTGTGATATTGTGCGCACCTCATCCTCATTGATAGGCAACGTACACACACTGAGCGAGTAGGGTGGTGCTCATATAGCCATTGCTCGGGTCCTCACTAGTGGGTGGCTTTCCGATCGCCCACTTGTCTTCCACCACGTCGAAGACGTTTTCGCAAGGAGCCCAGAATACGTCGTGTACTCGGACGTGCCCTTATAGACTGTGACTTGGAAACACTCATGTTCGTCCCCAAGGCTCACAAGACGTTATACTCATGAATCCCAGATAACAGAAAAACATACTGTGGTATTTCTGACTGCAGAAGGATTGGTCTTACCAGAGACCCACTCATCGCTGTAAATGGCGAAGTGAGGAGCTGCAAGTGTTACACAAGCTGAAAAAAGTGCCGTGTCCATAAGAGGCACAGACAACACGCCACCGACGGTTGCGAAGATGCTGAAAAAGACCCTGTCCTGCCACGAAAGAACAGGTTGCTAGTATCAGGGGAAAAATGGATGGTCGTTCGATGCTGCATGGAATGTCACCGGACGATTTGCCATAAAGTTGGACCCACTATTAGCAGAAGGTGGCGCACGACGAGACCCTAAATTGTCATCAGCGGCATCAATCCATTGCTTCTAAGGTTCTCAAGACTAAAGATGGGTCAGACGCAGGATCTCCGTCTTGGGAACTTCCGATTAATTGATATCGAAAGTCGTCAGACGTAGTGAGCAAGATGGGCATGCAGATTCAGAAATAAATCCAAGGTGTCAGGTACATGCATACCACATTATTAGGCATCCGAGGTTGCATATAATTAAGCAAGAGAGATGATGCTGACGAGATCTTCGCTCAGAGGAACGGATTTGGAATGCCAAAATTGAATGAGTGTGCAAACGGAAGCAATTCGTGACGAATGTACTAAGTGCGATAAGGTTAGGAGGTCGGAGTGGACGACGGGATTTCCTGGGGCCTCTTGAAGGGGAATTGTAACAGAGGAGCCTTGCGCGGAAAGGTCACCGTTGATCGCAGGATATCAATTTATGTGATAGCGTTATGGGATGTCAAAAGCGACATCCTAGATCGCCTCCAGTTTTGAGACCTTGACATACGCCGGGTTTGCCCTGAATTTTATATTAGTGATCATGCATGCTTCAGAATAACACTTCCGCGCTCCACGTGTGTACCTTGGTAGTAACTGTATCAGCGTTTAGTGGTCACTGTGCCGCCTCGGCAAAAATGATACAACTTCAGACCTACCTGTGGCTTACTGTCGACATAATTTCGGAGCACAGATAGGCTATCAAGAAATATTGATATCGTTTGACGCTCTGCCGATACATCCCCTGCATACATACATATAGCAGGACTATCACAAAAAGCGACAAAGCAAGTACGCATCAAAGGGATCGTCGCGTGACTCCTCTGTAACAAAATAGATTTCAGGAATGCGAAAACGGGAACAAAGCAAAAGCCTGAGAGCTTAGAAGCACAACGATAAGACTTGGGACCGGATCGTGATAGTACTAGGTGGCAATTTGAACTGTATCTCGATTCTGACGAAGTGGTAGGTGAGACGAGGCTGAAAAGGTGTAGCCAGGTTTTGCCAATCGGATGTACACGGTCAGTCCCACATGCACGTACGGCGCTTGGTTGGATCCCGAGGACGCATTCGTCAGATGTGACATGTGAAACTTCTGAACATCAGCGCTCAGCACCCGATTACAGAAATCGAAAGCACTTACTCCAAGTTACTTGCAATCCTAGCCCGTGCTCAGCTGACCTTTGCTAGCAAGGTATGCAGCACCTGTATCTGCCCAGACATGATAATCTGTGACCTTGCAATCGTCGTCAAAGTCCAGCACATATGTAAATATCTCGTCCCAGCTCTGCTCTGAGCTCAACCAGGTGAATCTGGCTCGGCCCCTCACCGAAACTTTCTGGACTTCTGGATCAACGATATACTCTGAAAACTCCATTCTATCAAAACTCAAAGTCGAGGCTATGGTTTTGAAGTAATCTCGTACTCCATCACGTCCGACGAAGTGACGTCCCAGAAATGGTGCAAGAATAGGTAAACCATGTTCATATGCTACGCATTGGTGTGTCGTAGAGAAATGTGTCATGAGAGCATCTGGATCTTTCTTGGATGCGAAATCCGTGCATAAGGATTTGGCAGCGTGAAGCAAGTTGTCTCTGGTTATGCGCATCGTATTATTCGGATGGTGGTTAAATGTAAACGTTCAAGTTGGAGCACGCTGCTTAGCAAAGACGGCCTCAAACTCACGGACATGTGAATTCGGACGACAGAGGTTCCTTTCTTTCACCCTCATTCACCTTTTAGGAGTCGCACTGGCCTCTAATATGCCGAGCGACACGTTGATACCAGTGCCAGAGGAGGTTTTGAGGCACCCTAGAAGCAAAGACAGCAGTACCCTCTCGTGAGCAGGCTACATATAATACTTGCGACCTTATGGTCGGGGGTGGCTAATGAACGCCAGGAATCACGCACAACCTACTTGCAGTCACAACATAGAGGAAGCAGTAAAGAGTACATCAAAGCGAATACTGCAGTACGAAAGTCAGATGCAAGAACTCAGTGTCAGTCTCTCCAAGCGCCCCACTCAATGTATTGATGCTTCCACTTGCATCTAGACCAAGCTTACAGAAGGCTTGAGCAACTTTCGAGCTATGGACGGCTTGATGCAGGGCTCTCTCGACGAACTAAAGGTCAGTGATTCCCTTGTTTTTCAGTGACTGAAGGTAATGACTTGACTCTCCGAGCAGAGAGATACACAGCATGCCAAACATGCACTCGAAGAACATATACCGTGCATCCACGAGGAACTTCACAACTCTCTTGTCTCCCTGCAGGAATTGTCACATACACTTCCACAAATTCAATCACATGTAGCTGAAATACGACGTATATACGATTCTGGTCGAGAGAAAGTAAGAGATCATAGTCCTTCCCATGGAAGATTCGACTCACCAGTAAGGATAGGCCAAGACTCTCGTGACAGACCTCAGTTGGTTGAACACCGAATGGCACGAGCGTTGGCGAGTTATCATCTTCACGAATCATTCCCCAGTTTCGAGGTGGTGGACTGCCACAATGCGCGTCTTGTTTGCTGCAACTTTTATAACATTTGGATGGATTGCTTGGGTGGCAATTGCGGGTGCCTATACAGCTCACAGACAAAGGCTTGTCTGGGGGGAGAGGCTGATGTCTTAGATTCACGCTTTTCTCCGCCTCCTAATTGTAGGTAAATATTCAATTGCTATACCCGCCTCTTTTGGTGACCTGCCAACCTGTAGCATCATGTGCGAGGGGATGTGCAACAGCATATATTTAAGTTGTGAACCCCTTCCTATGAATCCAAGGGTCTCCTGACCCAAAACAAATAGTTGCATTCTACGGCACCCCAGGGCGTAGAAGAGCGAGGCATCAACTTCCATTCACCGCTCCATGGAATATACACTATTCCTCGCACGTCCGCTTCCAATCGTGTGGGTAGACCATGAGCATACGTACGTGTTATCCAAGGTCTGGGAGATGCATCAGAGCCGATATGGCCGAAATCTGTTGGATTGCTGGAGGAGGAAGGCGAGGACCGATAGGTTTGGAAGAACGATATAAGCTCGGATGGGTTGACGAATTTTGAGTACGTGTGAGTCCCCACAGCTACCTTGCGGAGGACATATTCGCCAGCCAAAATTGTAATGAAATAGGAGAGTGGCGTCCTCGCAATCGTGGAAAGGAAAAGATGGCCTCCAGGCTGATGTCAAGCAAATGTTACATCTGTACTTGACTACGTGTCCAGAATGAGACTTACTTTCACCAACTGAGCACAAGCAGAAAGGAACGCCACCGGGTTATCTACGTGCTCGATAACTTCCATCGAGCATACGACGTCGAACCGCTTAGGTTCTTTGACAAGCTGCTCTGCAGAAGTATGACGGTATTCCAATGAATTGCCCGAAGAAGACAGCTGGGGATCACCACTAGCATGTGTCGAAGCTATTCCAATGTTGGATTCAGATGCATCGATGCCAATAGTTCGTGCTCCCAGCCTAGCGAGACTCTGGATCACAGAATTGTTAAGTCATATTGAGCTATGAGACTGATGGCGAACCTCTGAGAGCAAACCACCTCCACAACCCACATCCAACACATCCATACCAGTCAGCACCGCGCATTTTGATTCCAACTCTCTCCTTGCATCCTCTCCTTGGTCTTCGCACGTGGCCTCAAGGATCTTTTCCCGGATGTAACGTACCCTTACAGGGTTCATTCGGTGCAACAGCGAAAACTCCCCTTGCTCATTCCACCATAGTGAGGAAAGCCGGGAAAAATGGGCAATCTCAGTTGCATTGACAGTCGAAGACGTTGCTGCTGCCGACTGGAAGCATCGAGTGCTCAGGCAAAAGCGCAGGAGGCGCGTTGTCGGTCGGACAGCTGTAGACAACATGAAAGACTCAAACCTGGAACGGTTCAGGTTCGGGAGCAATAGAAACTCGTTAGTGACGCTATCTCGTCGTGTTGCTCATGATGCCGCTAAGGCTTAAGCTTTAAGCTTGATCGATTGATCAGGGAGGTGGCCCCGGCACATTTCGAAATAATCCAAGTTGTATAAATGTGACTTAATACTACTGACAATCCTGGAGCCCGATTCCTGCCGACGCAATGCGGCCAGAACGCGTGCGGCATAGCGCTCGAACTCGGATATGTGCGTAGACATGATTCTAGCTTTGCGTGTTCGATATTTATTATTGTTTATTATTGGCAGTTAGTCCGTCAGATTTTGTCAGATGGCATATGACCTTGCAAGCAAGGTGACACTTGCACCGAATAACCCTTGCACATGGATGAACTGTTCCTTATAATATCCGTGTCATTGGTACCTGGCGAATTTACTCTTGAAGTGTAAAACGCCGCTATCGACTCACTGACATACTGCGCAGTGCGCAGTTCGCATTCGATGGCCATGTCTGTAGTAGTGTCAGCTACGCCGATCCACATCTCTGGACTTGGCAAGGCAGCGCAAAATAGAGTGAATTGTCTAGTGATAAGTGATAGTACGGTAGGCATAGAAATCTCTGCATGCGTGCTGTATGAGTATGCGATAATTACAAGAGATAATATACACCGTGTTCATGATCAAACTTCATGCATCAAGCTTCAGTTTCCTGACTCTTGCGTAAAGGCCCGTCAACTTGTTGCATCCGACCCGAACCCACGTTTTGAGAATCGTGTGGGGTCTACATGAAGTAACTCGTCTCTTCCCATCTGTGCTAGATCCATGGACTGAGTCTGCTCTTCACCGTGACTACTATCCTGGCCACCTGTTTCGCCTAGGACTATGGCGTCCGAGTGTTGAGCATCTTCATCCCAGTGTCCACCGTCTCGGTATTTGCCGTGCCCGAGGGTATCGCCACGTCCAGCCATCAATCCTCTGCCTCGCCCCCTACCTCCTTGCCATCCACGTCCAGAACCTGCGGTTTGGGCACCCCAATTCGGATCCTGCCACTGACCAGCTTGCACAGCATTTGTCTGACCAGTGAATGTGACTACACCGCCCGTCATTACAAACTGCATGAGTTCTTCTTGAGACGGTGTATCGCCGTAAGTACTGTGCCACATCTTTCCCAATGCTTCCCACGATGAGGGCGCAGTGAAATCAAACGTTGTGATATCAAAATGATCAAGTCCTAGTTGCTGCAGCGCAGGCGCCGAACTCGGTTTACGAGGTTCGACTTTCTGTGTAGATGTACTGGCAGCTACCGAGGGCAACTGGTCTGATACAGGTACACGATTTTCGGGTGCCGCCGTACGGGCAGGGACTACAGACGGAACCATCGGAGGCTGGAGTTGAACATCGACTGATGCAGCTCTAGGAGGAGTGGCAGAAGACGGTCTAATATCTCGTCCAAACTCGTCTTTTCCCGCTTCAGGGAGTTTCGCTGAAATTTGATTTTGGGCTACATCTCTGATTGCTGGTCTCTGAGGCGGACTATACGGTCGTGGCCGCTGCCCATTGAATCTGCGCGGGCTTCGGGAACGGCTATTTCTTGGCCGTGAAGAAGAATTCCAATCCCTATCTTTGAAACGATCGTGGTCACGGTCATCCCATCTACCCCTACCCCGACCACGACCACGAAGACCACGCTGGAATCCCCCGCGTGTGTTGGAATCGTGGGATCCATCACGCTCTCTCCCATGATCAAATTGGCTTGAACGACCCTGCCAAGAATCTCTACCAGGATCATGCTGGGTGTGTGACTGTGAGGAAGAATAAGGTTGTGGGTGAATGTTTAAATGAGATGGAGGGGGACGCTGTGACGCAGACGGGAGTTGGATTGCAGATTGCGATGGAGTACCACCATTTGGGACGTTTACTGTCAAAGCCAGTTGTTGCAACAACGCTAGGTGCCCAGTGAGGGGTGGGGGTGGGGCAGGCACAATGTTTGGTGGTGTTTGGCTGCATGGAGAGTTCAGAAGAGCTCCAACTCATGACTTAAGTAAATACTCACATGCGTGGCTGCCCAGCGGCTTGTGCAGCTTGTCCAAGCAGGGCCAGAAGTGTGGATTGCACCGATTCTGGAAGAGGAGGCGTTGGACCCTGGGACGGGGTAACCGATGGAGTAATTATCGGCAATGCTTGGGTTTCGACTCGTGCGATGGGAGGCATTGGGTTTTTCACGGATTCTAACATAAAAAGCAGCCAAATCGTATTTCAGTGTAAATTCTCATTTCATTTGAGGCAGAGACACCAGCAAAAATAGCTATTACACAAGCAGAAGAAATACTTAGCGGACACATGTTTGATTCGTGATATGCACCTTTTCGAGAGTCCATCATCTCCCTCAGCCGTGTCAAAACCGGCGAAGGAAAAGTATTTGATTTGGTCCATATATCCAGAACTTTCTTCGTCTTTTCCTGTTATTGGAGTAAGTAAGACCGCGTTGCATCCGACGTGGAGGAGAGAACAGCAAAATAATGTGGTGACAATACGCGTTAGTGGCAGTATTGGTACTCGAAGATATGAGCCATGTCAGTTGAGGGCACATTTACAGCAACATCAGGCTACGCAATCACGTTGCTTGGAGTACCATACAAAGTCACCGACGACATGGATGTCGCAGATATACGCCTGACCTGTGTTTGTGAAGTGGATCTACTCGTCGCTTACCTTCGCTTCCGCATTATCAAGCGTAATCATGTCCTGGAACAGACCATCTAAAACACCTTCAACTTTGAGTAGGAAGGTGGCAGCGTTTCCAGTCCTCGAATTCATGTCACCGGTGATACCGCGCTTTGTGGCATAACTTCGGGCAGCACGTGCTAAAGCATCAAACGCATAAAGACTTGACACCTTGGCAGTACTAGACAGTGACTTGTGAGTGCGATAAAGTATCGCAACAAGCTTAGTGTCGTGCTGCCAATGCAAAAGCCTCAGTGAACAAGCCTTCAAGTATGACTTTGAGACGCACCTCCACGGACTTCAGTGCAATTTCAGTCAATTTGGTCATCTTGGAAGCTGACAGTCGTTTTGCATTAACGACATCTTTCAGCGTGTTCTCGAAATCCTGAAAGAGCATGAAAATAAAATGAACATCATCGATGAGATAAAACGTTGCACTAACTTCAAGGTGGTTCATCACTCCCAAAACATCAGGCGCTCTGAAACAGTACTAGTGAGGTTAGCGAGAATGTTGATGGCAAACGGGTGTCCACTGTCAACTCGGAGCCTGGCTTTTGTTTGTTGATGTTGATGGCGCTTATGCACCTTGCGCTCATTTTCCCATCACCTCGGATGTCAACTAGAGCGAAAGCGACGCTGGCTGCGTCGCTCGCATTTTCCTCCTTCATTATATGGGCAGTTCATTACCAGCAGTCAAGGGAGCGAGAGGTGATGACTACCGTTGCTTATTATTCCATCCCTGACATTATACCTAATAGGACATGTTCCAAGGCGTCATTCGTGATGACGTTCGTCGGCTAGAGAAAATGCGGCAGCGCGAAGCAGAGTTCCATGAATCCTCTCGCAAGCGAGAAATGTACGAACAAGTACAGAATGTCGTATCAAGTGACCAGTCAAAGAAGATTTGACCGACACATGTCCCTGGTCCCAAGACGGCCATAGGTTCCTGCCCGGAGGTATCGCATCGTTGCACGGGTCACCGGGTTGCATCCTTTTGGGTTACTCATAACATTCTGCGGCAATGTATATCCTGTTTTCAATCATAGGGGACTGAAATTAGAGTTAGTATCTCATCAGCTCCGTTTCACGGACCAACGTGCACTAATAAGTTAACTGCCTACATTCGTTGTCCTTATCAATTTGAAACTCGAACCCTTCACCGCGGCCTGGTTCGCAGGCTACATTCCCACCTGCGGTGCTCTTGACTCTGATAATCTACCACGTAGCATGGGCTTGTTGTGTATCCGACGGGGCCAACCAGCAATCACTGTAGTAAGCTGCGAGAGGCTCTTCTCTCAGAGTCGGTAGTTTTTGTGAGTGAATGGCACAGTGATCCAATCCCTGATTCGCTACAATATTTTGACCCACAAACAAGTTACTATCCAAATCCAAACTACGTGAATATTCCACAATTACCACTAGCCACCATGTTCTAGTCTTGAATTTGCACCTTGATCGCACCTTGAGAAGGGTCTGCAGCGACATGGAAGGCAGAAACAGCATCCTCCAGTTTAAATCGATGCGTGACCAGAGGCTTCAAGTTGATCAGACCGCCAGCGACAAGGCGTATGGCTTTAGGGTACTGATCACATACGGTGAGCATATCGAAATTCTTGCAGAAGGGAGCGCATGTACCTGGTTAGCATATCTGTATTGGAAACTAACATCTATCTCATTGGCACTCAGGTGCATGAACGGGAACTGAAAGTATGACAAATTGAGTGTGAGAAGATTTGGGGCTTTTACATACCACTTGTTCGTTCTTGCCGACGCCAATGATGAACACCTTTCCACCAAATTGCGTTGCCTGGGTACCATCCAGCATAAGCAAAGACTCTTGACAGCATAGACAACTTCAACGTTTCTTACATGTACTGCAGTATGCACACTGCTCTCCACACCGCTACACTCAATCGCAACCTTCACAGGGCCATCAGCGGCGGCTTTGATCTTTTGGGCCGCGTCCTTTGGCGTCAAACCACGCTCGATCAGTACCGTACGCACACCAGGAACGAGCTTCTTTGCAAAGTCGAGGCGGCTCTGGAACAGATCGGTGATTGCAATGGGCTCGGCGCCTGCAGCACGTGCTGAAAGAAGCGAAACGAGACCGATCGGTCCAGCGCCACTGAAAGCCTATCAATTCTAGGTCATAACATGAAATCCTGAATGCAAACACACCAGATCAAAGTGGGGTCACCAAGTCGGAGACCAGCACGCTCGACGCCTGCGAGAGCTACAGCCAGGGGCTCGCAAAGAGAACCTTCTTCGAAGGAAAGAGAATCAGGCAAACGGTGCAGCCACTCAGCAGGGTGCAAGTGATAGCGAGTTAGGGTTCCTAGAAGGCAGCTAAGCATCAATAAAAGTTGAATGTTTGGGATTCCTACCATGGAAAGGAGGAGTGGAGAAGAAGACAACATCAGGACCTGTAAGGAGATACCTCGTCACGGACTGCTTAACGATAGGTTAAAGTGGACACGTACAAGCGTTATACCTACCGACCCTGCAATATTCACAAGAAGGTTTCGAGCAGGGCACGCCGGCCTCGATTGCAACGCGGTCCCCTAGGTAGATGAGTTGGCCCTTTACATCATCAGCATGCTGGGATGGGTAGCTTACCTGCTTTCCACTGAGTCACGCCCTCACCTATTTCGATGACCTCTCCTGCAGACTCATGTCCAGAACCACACTGTACTTGAGATTAGATGCTATTTTCAGCGATTCGTAATGACTGAGCCAAACCTCATCAGTCACAACCATGGAATCACCAACGCGTCCATGCTTCCAGAAATGAACGTCACTTCTGATCACCACAGATCACATTAACACAACGTTCGGGATGTTGAAATGCCAAAACAAACCCGCAGATCCCAGTTGCACGGACGTGCACCAGGACTTGTCCAGGCCCTGGCGTTGGGCGTGGCTTTTCCACGAGGTGAATTTCATGATTGGGGTTATAGAAAGCCGCGATGTTTGCATCTGAGGCAGGGGCCTCTCCAGATGCGAGGACGCGAAAGGAAGGGTCGTCGAGGACCTTGCGAGGACTGTAAGTTTCTGCGTAGCCACCGTCAGGCATCGTAATCTGGATGGGAATTAGATGATGAAGATGGTCTTCGGGAATCAGAATTTTTGGCGATTGCATGATGGCACCTGAGATTTATATGCAGCCTCAAACATGGTCCATTATGGCAAGATTATGGTCAGCAGGCAAAGCAGCACGAAACACACGCGATACGGTTCCGGTCCGAAGGCAACGAGGTCCGCAACGATTTAGCCTTATTGTTCTCACCAAGCGAATTACGACGACGGAGAGTTGATTGCCAATTGATATACAAATGCTGTCTGCAACAAAACGAATCCAATGTTCAAGATTACACAAACCCAGAGCTTCTATGGTATCGAAAGGGTATCGATCCAGGGCGGGCGAGCGAGCGGCGGAGCAGAAGATCCAATGGTACAGGTGTGTCATATTATTAAAGAGGCAGCAACAAAGCGCGTGCATTCTAATCACGGAGCTTGTCCGCCAGTGAAGCGCTTGAACGTGAACCTATATCAGGATAGAGTCAGGGGTGTTAGCCGTGAATCCAATAGACATGACTTACCCCAAGAAAGCAAGATCTTTGTCAGATCCGACTTGTTCAACAACTTCAAGCTGTTCAGGAAGGTTACCAAGCTCATCAGTAGGGAAGTATGTGGTATCCGTAATCGATGATAACGCGGGTACGAAAGGCGGCGCGATATAACGTAGATTGTCCCAGTCGGCTCCATAAAAGAAGGGATGGTTCTTGATTTCATTGACCCCCAGACGGGTGTTCGCCCACGTCATCATGCTAAAGCGAAATGAGTACAACGCCTTTGTTTGTACGTGAGCAGTAGACTCGCACCTGCGAATCAGATGCTCAGCTTCCTGGCTAAGGTGGACTTCCTCCGGGAAGTATAGGTAGTTTGGCCATTCGATGATTTTCTTGTATGTATCACTTGGATTTTCAGAGCAGAATGGCGCGTATCCAACCACACACTCAAAAAAGATTGCACCCAACGACCACCAATCACATTCCTTGCCATAACCTTTCAGCATGAACACCTCTGGCGCAATATAATCCGGCGTTCCTACGAAGAGCTTGAGCGGCGCTTAAAGATTCGTCATTTGGTCACTTACCGACAGTGGAGTATGCCTGGTAATACAAGAATCAGTGTCGATGTGTAGTAGACTACAAAGGGACTAACCAGTTTTCGTCGGTTGGCTTTCCAAGTAGCAATTTGCTCGCGACTCATTGTAAGGTGGATAGCATTGACCTGGACGCTATTTCGGGCATGATCCTTTTGTTTGTCTTGATCTATCAAACGCTTGTAGAAATCTCCATCTGTAGTCTTGTGCAGACCAGTCGAGAGACCAAAATCAGATAGCTTTAAATGCCCGTTCTTGTCTATCAAAATGTTATCGGGTTTGATGTCCCTAGGACGAAAATTTATATGCTTATCATGAACATGACAGGTTATTACGCACCGATGAATGTAGCCGAGGTCATGAACAGCCTCGATAGCAAGAATGCACTCCGCCATGTAGAACCGCGTCACATCTTCAGAGAAAACATCGTATTTCATGAGCATGGTCATTAAGTCGCCTCCAGGAAGAAACTCCATGATGAGATATAAGTATAGTGGATCCTGGAAGGAATAAAAGAGTTGAACGACCCAGGGTGATGTAGATTCAGCCAGCAAGTCACGCTCCGCGCGAATATGAGCAAGCTATAGGACCATTTCATCAGCACAAAGCAAGAAGTATGGCTTGTGCATACAAACCTGATCTCGCTTCAACATCTCAGCCTTTTGGAGGGTCTTCATGGCATAGACTTTCCCAGTGTCTACTTTCTGAACCAATCTTACCTACGTGTTAATCAAGTGGTGAGCTCAGGGAGAACTTCAGTGAACAGCCTGGCATACCTCACCAAACGCACCCTTCCCAATGACTTTGATTGTGCGAAAGTCCGTGAGACGAATCTTTGTCCGACGTAATCGTAGATGTTGTGACTCCAGCTTGCGGTATTTGCGAATTTCGCGTTCTTTCGACTCATTAGGTATCATGGCTTGATTAAGTCTGTGCTCCAGTTCTGTGCGCCTGTAAGTGGCGTCAGTGACCGTTGACTGAGGAAACGAACAAGCGACCGGCTGGCGCACCTCCCATTGCGTTCGATCGCGGCATCGACAGCAAGCTTGTAGTAAGATTCAAGCTTTAGCTTTGCAGCAGTTGCACGAGATACGGCATCAGATGAAAAGCTATCAGTGCTCCGCTCGAAATAAACGTAGTCATCGCCTTTCCTCTTGCTCGTTGAACTCGTGGAAGCAGGAGAACTAGACCGTTGCTGGCCTGATGGTGATGCGGAAAGTTGGGTAGACTGGGTAGAGCTGCCACCGCTGGTGTTCGAGCTCACTGAAGCTACGGTCTCTTCGGACTGGCGTTGGCTCATGATGGTTCAAAGGAAAGCGAAGGTACAATCGCTGTAACCAAATTGTCGTGGTGGAAAAATCAAACACAACGAAATGGAGAACGTAAAAGATGTCTCAGAAAACCGAGTTTGTGTTGTTATGGAAGGTATACAAACTTCCATGATTAAATTTAGTCTACATGAGAGCAAAACTATATAATTATGTACAGCGAAAAATACACTAAACAAGGCCCAGATGACTCAATTTAAGGTGCTAGCAGCTAGTGGTCCAAGCAGCGTTAGACTCGGAAACACAAAAAAGGTACTTGTCATTGTGTGATTCAGACAGGTGGTGTGTTGGCTATGAAAATACATTTCTATGAAACTATTGTTACTACGAAAAACTGCGCGTGGCTTCTGCGCGTGAGGGTGAGTCAATGAGTGTGCGCTGGAATAGCCCCAATTAGTGGTAGCTGTTGTTTGGATCCAAAGCTCTTGCCAAACAACACTTCTCAATAGACTCGTCCAAACCTATTCTTTGCCAGAACCACGTGTCAAGCCCTTCCGTTCCATTATGTCAGAGCTGACATACGATTCGTTGATGGATGATGGAAACTATCTGGGCTCTGAGCGGGCCCGGATGGAGAACAAGGTCATCCTCGATGAGCTCGAGCGAAAGAAGAAGGCGCGCAACTTAGCTGTACCAACGGACGACAATAAGGTCAAAGCGAGACTGCGAGAAATTGGTGAACCTATCACACTTTTTGGTGAACGAGTAAGTTTTACAACAGTATAAATTCATCATGTGAGATTGATTGTAATATTAGGCAGCAGATCGACGAGACCGACTGATATATGTCCTTTCACAAATAAATGCCGCAAGGGGTGATGACCACCCAATCGAAGAGGCATCCTCTGAAGAAAGCGAGGAAGAAGGGGTATGTAGCTCCTAGCTCCTACTTGATGGAGCTATTGCTGACCCAGTTTACAGGAGGAGTTTTACACCGAAGGCTCCCTAGAGCTTCTTCAAGCTCGAAGGAATGTTGCAGAATTTTCTCTGCCCAGGTTGGATTTTACCTGCCGATAGGTGATTTCAGTAAGGTGCTTACAATATCTCTTCCATGTCCTTTGCAGAGCTCAAAAGCGCGTCGCTCAGCAGCGAATAGACAGCAAAATACCATTAGGGCGCATAATCGACATACGGAAGAAAGTCTTCGCAGGGGTCAAGGTAAATGATGCGGAATTATAAGGACGTCGTTGTTCATGAGCACCCGCAGCGTTTTAGCAATATTGGTTCACAAATTGGCGACGAGCGCCCGATATCGCAAGTGCGTTTTGCACCCAATAATAAAATTCTAGCTACTGGTAGCTGGTCCGGCACCGTCAAGTTGTGGAATGTACCTGCATGCACAACTATACGCACACTCAGAGGTGAATATCCAAACTATAATAGCGCTTTCTTGTGCTGATCATAACCTAAGGTCATGGTGATCGTGTTGGTGGTGTTGCGTGGCATCCGCAGGCAACATTAACTCAAGAAGAAGGATTAGTGAACTTGGTTTCGGGTGCAGGAGATATGTGTGTCAATCTATGGTCTTTGAATAGGTGAATCCTCTCTTTGAGTTTCTTTGCCCTGGAACCTCATACTCTTCAATAGCGATGCACCGCTCTCTGTGATGAAGGGCCATGCAGATCGCATCTGTCGTGTAGCATTTCACCCTTCCGGTCATTTTGTCGCTTCTGCTAGCTTCGATACCACTTGGCGATTATGGGATGTGAACTCCTCGAAAGAACTACTCCTCCAAGAAGGCCACTCAAAGGAAGTGTACGCTGTTGAGTTCCAAGGTGATGGAGCGCTAATCGCCTCGGGGTAAGTCCATACCTCTACAACACAATATACCTTGGATAACAGGAATCCTCAGGGGCCTAGATGCCATTGGACGAGTGTGGGATCTGCGCACAGGACGCACAGCGATGGTACTCGACGGTCACGTCCAAGGCATCTTCGGAATCGACTTCTCTCCAAACGGGTGAGTTGTCTCCGACAGCTTTCTGCCTATCTTAATGACGATTTTTGAATAGATATCAAATTGCCACTGGCGCTGGCGACGACACAATACGGATATGGGACATGCGCTCTCTGAAGGCCCTGTACACCATCCCCGCACATGTCTCCAATGTGTCCGACGTCCGTTTCTTCCGTGCTGATGCACTCCCATCATTTAAGCCCAAGGCCGAATCCGCAGATGTTTTTATGAACGAGATTACCGAAGGTACAGATGCAGACAAGAGTCATGACACTGAGGACGACGTCCAGGAGTGGAAATATCGCTCAGGGCTGTATCTAGCCAGTTCTGGATATGATGGCTACGTGAAGTTGTGGAGCGCCGACGATTGGCAGCTACTCCGTACGCTAACGACAGATTCGGGCAAGGTCATGTCTGTGGACTTAACAAGCGATGCGGAGCTGCTCGCTTCCGGTACTTACAATCGCAATTTCCAATTATTCGCTCCAGAGGATATCCCAGTGTAATAATGCTTTGCTCGTGATAATAATTGTTACTTCAGAGATACAAATGCGAGCCGACCCAACTGGCAGTGCGTATTATACGGTTGCGATGAGCAGCACATACATAGTGTTCGGTTGGAA